TGTGAGTGTGTGGGAGGGGGGGGGTTGATATTTTAAAATATTTTTCTTTTCATTTTGTTTTTAACAGTTATACAGTGGGAGGGGAGGGGAGGATTTTTGTGCGCGTATGTGTGTGTACGTGTGTGTGTGTACGTGTGTGCAGGAAGATTCTAGTATAAATGTGGGTCAAGAGGAACAACCACTATGGAATAAAAAAAAAAAAAAAAAACTGGTTGTAACTGGGCCTGACTGATTTGGGGATCCAAAAGCACAAATTTCCACATCTTGATGAAACACGCAAAACAAACTAGTCCAGACTAAAACCATTACTACACTCCTTTTTAAAGTCGATACACAAGCACAACTTACCATCCCTCGGCGGTGACCTTGGGCTGGTCTCGGAGGTCGACACGCGCGAGTCGTGTGAGGGAATCTGAAGAACACACAGAGGACAATAGAGGTCATCATATGGTGAGTCTCAACAAAACATATATATGTGTGAGGCAGCGTGGAATATCAGGCTCTCGTCAAAATAATCAAAGTCAAGAAACTTGCATTTTTCCGCAGTTTTGTGAATTTTTAAAATTTTTTCGTTTTTTTGGCTCAACACCTTTCATGCCCATTAAAGAAGTCATTTCTGTGTTGATTTTTCTGAATTGAAGGCACAAAAAATGTCAATTTGCAGTTACCACGGACTTTTAAGCTAAGGAAATAACAATCTTTGGCGGGAATTTTCTCACTAATTTTACCTCTGAAAACAGGTGACCCCCACCTCCTTCATTTGCAAATATCTCGACTTGTATAAAGATAAAACGATATTTTTCCATCCAAATAAAAACATGTGAACAGGCTTTAAGATGATACCAATCACTCTACATGCCCAAAAATTGGCACAGTAAAAGATATTAAAACATTATACCAAATCCAAAGTTGTTTTTTTTTAACTTAAAAAAAACCCCATCTACAATTCACCATCTCCAAAAAACCCTATCACCCCCATCCGAAAAAAAAAAAAATTCAATTACCCGACAAGCAATACCTAAAAATACCAAAATTAATACCCCCCTGGTCAACAGTGAACCATTTCCCCCTTTTCATAACATATAAACATAATCTAATAAAAACATCCAACCCCCCCAACCAAACAAAAACCCCCCCCCAAAACTTTTTAAAAAACCACAAAAAACAAACAAACAAACAAACAAACAAACAAATCAACAAATCTCACCCTCTGGTTCTTGTAGGTGGGCGGGGAGGGGTAGGGCGGGATGCCCGGAATGTTTTCGTGCGTGTTCACACTGGGGTCGGAGGAGGAGCGCACCAGACGCTTCTTCTGCAGCGGGGACACGTCAAGGTCGTCTCGCGGCCTCGGGAGGTCAAGGTCGCTGTCAGCCCCGGCTCCGAAGCTCATGCGGGTGGACATGGGGAACATAAAGTCGTCGCTCATGTCTTCCGTCGGCTGGGGAAGATGGTAGAATGTGGCCTTTAAACTTTACTCCTGAAAGTCCAGTTTCCCCAAACACCATAATCATCTTTTAGTTTTAGTACGTGTTTTACGGCACTTGCAACACAAAAAGGCCACATAAGTGCCGAAGATTAGAGGAGTTGCAAGAGAGTAACAAACACAAAAAAAAAAGGAAGAGAGATAAAGATGATAAATGTTTGATAGGAAAGAAGAAGCAAACCACACCAGAGCCCCCGTCAACCATCCACCCATAATCATCATCATCACCATCATAAACAACAACAACAACAACAACAAAAACATATTTCTCCAATATCCAAATCTGCAGTCGTTTCTGTGTGTCTACACTCCATCATCATCATCATAAAAAACAACAACAACAAAATCACAATCATATTTAAAAAAAAACACCAACAAAATCACAATCATATAAAAAAAAACACCAACAAAATCACAATCATATAAAAAACCACAACAACAACAATATTACCTTCATATAAAAAACAACAACAACAACAACTACAACAACTACAACAGCAACAACAACCACAACCACCTACTCTCTGTTCCTGTTTCTCAGACATGCATATCTGCTGCCACATCCCCATCACCATCAGCATGAACAACATCAACAACAACAGCATCAACAACAACAACAACAACAACAACAACCTAATTCTCAGACATCCAAATCTGCTGTCGCTGCTGTGTGTCTATTATTATCATCATCATGAACAACAACAACAACAACAACACCATCATCACCATTACAAACGACCACAACAACAACTTAATTCTTGGACATCCAAATATGCTCTCGCTGCTGCCTGTCTACATCCCATCATCATCATCATAACCAACAACAACAACAATATTACCATCATAAACAACAACAACAACCACAACAACCACAGCAACACCACCAACCTGTTTCTCCGACATCCAGATATGCTGTCGCTGCTGTGTGTCTATCATCATCATCATCATCATGAACAACAACAACAACAACACCATCATCACCATCACAAACGACCACAACAACAACAACAACAACCA